GATTACCAAAGGGTGGTATATAAATAAATTTTATTATTATTATTATTAGCCCTGTTTAAATATTGGAAGGAATGTCTTACTGAGGATGGAGCAAGCTTGTTTTCTGCTGCTTCAGAGAATAGGACACAATGGAGCAATGGATGCAAGCTACAGATGCGAAAGACCTAAATATTAGGAAGAACTTCCTGACTGTAAGAGCTGTTTGACAATGGAAGAGGCTGCCTTGGAGACTGTGGCGGAGTCTCCTTCTTTGGAGGTTTCGATGGCCATCTGTCAAAGGGAGGACGTGGATTGTGTCTTATTGCATGGCAGAAAGGGGTTGGACTGGATGACCTTTGGGGGTCCCTTCCAACTCCGGGATTCTATGATTCTAATCCTAATGTCCATTTAGTATTGAAGGAGAAAAAAATGCACCCATGAAATTATACACATGTGGACATGAATGGCTTTTGTCCACTGCCATCAAATAAAACTGGTCTGGGATGGTTCCCTACACAACACTTGACTAGGGCTCTTCATAGAATCCTAGAGTTGAAAGAGACCACAAGGGCCATCCAGCCCAACCCCATTCTGCCATGCAGGAACTCCCAATCAAAGCATCCCAACAGATGGCCATCCAGCCTCTGCTTAAAGACCGCCAAGGAAGGAGACTCTTGATAAAAGGCATCCCATAAATGAAGACCGCTTGTAAAGGACATTTTTGAACATTAGGGAAAGGCTTCCTGGTGGCAAGAGCTGCTCAGCAATGGAATCAACTGCCATGGAAGGTAGTCCTCTCTCCTTTGTTGGAGGTTGTTAAACAGAAGGTGGATGAGCACCACCTTTCAGGAGTCCTTTAGCTGCGGATTCCTGGACTTTCAAGGGCTTGGATTAGATGACCTTCCAGTGACCAAATGATGTGATTTCTCCCCATGCCCACAAATGCCAAATTCTTTTTTAAATGGCTAACCCCTTTGCCTCAAGCAATAACAGAAGAGCATGAAGTATGCAAAGCGCTTTCGAGACTGACTTAAAGAGCGAAGCTGGCAGCATGGCCTTAGATAGACTTGAGTCTAGGAAAGCTCATCCTTCCAGTTATTGTGTGACTGACTTCAAGTCCTTTCTGACTTATGGCAACCCTAAGGTGAACCTAAGAGCGAGTGTGGTGTCGTGGTTTGAGCGCTGGACTACAACTCTGGAGACCAGGGTTCGATTCCCAGCGTGGGCAAGTCACACGCTCTCAGCCTCAGGGGAAGGCAATGGCCAACCTCCTCTGAACAGATCTGGAAAAGAAAACCCCAGGATAGGTTCAACTTAGGGTCACCGTAGGTTGGAAATGACTTGAAGGCACACAATAAAAACAAGGGGAACCTATCTTAGGGTTTTCTGAGGCTGAGAGAGTGTGACTTGTCCAAGATATTTCATGGCCCAGCAGGATTTGAACCCTGGTTTCCAGAGTCATAGTCCAATGCTCAAACCACTACACCACCAGCGTCTTTCTTTCCATTTGTCTCAAAGGTACTACAGATCCCTTTGCATCCTGATTTTCCAGACCAACATGGCTAGGGCTTTGAATTCAAGGGCACGAAGGCACGGATGACACTTCAACAGGGCATTCTCATACAACCTCAGAACACAGAAACATATGCTCCTGGAAAATTTAAGTCCATGGAGCTGTGGTTTGATGGAGGGAGGTTTTTTTTGGGGGGGGGGGTCTGGGATGGTGAGGACCACAAGAGACACATCCAAGGTCTACGCACAGCGTGCAGTTTGCACAGTTCCCATCCCTCCCCTAGAGGACTGCTGCACCCATCATCCATCCTTGCAATGCGGATCCAACTCCCGTGAAGACAAATGAGGAACTCCAAACCTTCAGGGTACTATCTAAAAGTGCTGGACCCACATCTCATGTTTCCAAAACAGGTTCAGCACCTTTGGCAGCTTGTTTAAATTTCAGACTAAAAACCAGAGTGGATTCTCTGACCCACTGATGCGGAAGGCGCCAATCGCCTCTGGTAAAACGAAATGCTTAAAATGACATTTATAGGGGATTTAAAAAGAAAAAAGAAATGTTGACAGTTCATTGGATGCCATTCTCTTGTGAATCTAAATGATTCTTCTTAAAATCAATGAATCACAGAAGCATAGAGTTGGAAGAGACCACAAGGGCCATCCAGCCCAACCCCATTCTGCCATGCAGGAACTCCCAATTTAAGCATCTTTCAAATCAAGCTTGAACTGTCCCTAGAAGCCAAGAGGACCAAACTGAGACTGTCGGACTTTGGACACATCATGAGAAGACAGGACTCTCTAGAAAAGAGAATAATGCTTGGTAAGGGAGAAAGCAATAGGAGAAGAGGAAGAGCTCATGGCATGTGGATTGATTCAGTCGAAGAAGCCACTGTTGCCCTGGCTTTGCAAGACCTGAGTATAGGGGCACTTGGAGGTCTCCCATTCATAGGGTTGCCATACGTTGATGTCGACTTGATGCCAAACAACAACAGCCGTCAACTCAGGAGTTTGGTAGAAAGGAAATGCAGTAGGAATGAATAAATGAATAAAATAATAATGATCGAGTGCTGGACCAGAACTAGAAGACAACCTTTGCCATAAGTCAGAAAGCATACTGAACACTCTCCTCCAGTATACAAAGAGATCTTGCAATTCCTTTGAGACTAACTGAAAGAAAGACGTTGGCAGCAGGAGCTTTCGTAGACTTCAGTCTACTTCCTCAGATGCATTTGGTGGAAAGAAGTAAGACTTTGGTTCAAAACACACACTACAGAAATAATCCAGTTTGAGACTGCTTTAACTGCCTTGGCTCAATGCTAGGGAATTCTGGGAACTGTAATGGAACTAATTGTAAAGAGTTAAATACTTCCATTTTAACATCCGCTGTTTAATGTTTTTTGCCATATTGTTCCTTTTTAAATTGCAAGCAGCTTAGAGAGCCAATTCTGGGAGAAAGGTGGGATGATGATGATGATGATGATGATGATGATGATGATGATGATGATCACACAGAGTGACTTTGTTGGACGATGCAGAAGAGATGCATGCAGCTGATCATGGCTGAAAAGGAGTTCCACATGTGCAACCATTGCAAAATAATACACTTGGCATAGTGTGCCAATGTGTATTGCACACTACCTCTTGCGCATTGTCCTTACCAATAAAATTGTGCATTTCTGGCAAGTCAGTTGCAGATTTTAAATTAATCATCTTTTAATTTTAATTAGAAGCCAGGATCATTCAGGCCAGAGTATTTCCAATTTCTCTGTACAATCACGAAAACTCGACAGTGCAAGAAAGCAGATAGGAAAAGAATAAACTCATGTGTAATAGGGAGCTGCAGGAGAGTCCTTTGGATATCACAGACTGTTAAAAGGACAAATTATTATTATTATTATTATTATTATTATTATTATTATTATTATTATTATTATTATTTCCATGGGCCTCAGAGCAAATCAACCCTGAACTCTCTCTTTAAGCCAAAACGGCCAAATGGCGAATATTGTACTTTGTACGTATCCTGAGAAGACATGACTCACTGGAAAAGATACTTATGCTTGGTATAAAGGAATGCGGTAGGAAAAGGGGAAGACCACATTCCAGATGGATTAATTCAAGAAAGGAAGCCACGGACCTCAAATCTGCAAGACCTCAGCGGACAATTGAAAATCTTAGCGGTTTCTTGTTTATAGGGTTGCCGTAAATTAAAGCCGGCTTGATGACACATAACAATAAAAGGGGTGCAAACTGATGACATTATCTCCCATCTCACACATGCCAGTGTCACAGACATATGCTATTAGTACTGTCCTATGAGGTCTAGAGAGCCAGCATGGTGTAGTGCTTTGAGCGTTGGACTTGGGGTGCGTATCCACACTGCAGAATTACAGCATCTATGGCACACTTGGAGTAGTGTGCCAATGTGCATTGCACACTACTTCTTGCGCATTGCACATTTTGCATTGAGGTGACAGCTCTGTGCATTTACTATTTTGGTTGTATTCTGTATAGAGTTAGTGTAGCATAACTCCTCCATCAGGTACTGATGCTGTGCTGGATCCTGGCCATTGCTTCTGTCTCTGGAGTCCCTGTGACTTTGCTTTGGGTGACCCTCCTTCCTCCTCCGCGCCAACCAGTTCCAGGCGTCCTCTGCCTCCATTGACTTGACCGCTCCTTGACTTGACTTTGCTTCCAGATAATCCAAGTGTTTGTGTCTAGGACTAGGTGGTTTAGAAGGAAACACTGCCAGGTGGGAAGATGGCCAAGTTCTCGGTGTCTACAAGTCTCAGCATCCCTCAAGACCTTGAAGGTGCCTGGTTTTGGTGGCAGCAAGCAGGAAGGAAAAGGGAAGATCTGTGCCTACTCTAGAGGCAGAGGAAAATGACAGTCGCCATTGCTGTCATTGCTGGTGGGTTAAAACATAAACTAGATCCCAACTAACTTTCCTTACAAAGTATTGAGGGTTTTCTGGGAAGTTGTTCACGGCCTGCATCCATACTTTTTTATGGGTTTTTTTTTTGGCTATGAGGCTGTGTTCTAGAAGAATTTATTCCTGATGTTTCGTCTGCATCTGTGGCTGG